TCTATTTGTCAAAGGAAAAGGGCAGAAAATCCGAAGAAGACATTGTAGGTCACACCTTGCTCTGCGGTCTGCTGAGGCCGCCAATAGCAGTTTTCCCAGCACGCAGGAAAGGAGACAATGGCTCATTGTCTCCGGGAGTTTGCAGAGCAGGGCAATTGGGTGGGGGTAAGGGGTGGTGGTGGGTGGGTAAGGGGTGGAGGTGGGGGTGGGTGAGGAGCGAGCAGAGATCAAAAGAACAAAACTGGTACAGGCATCCTTTCAACAGTGCTCAGTGCCAGTGTAAGACAGAGTCTCGAAGTAGCTGTCACTCCCCAACAGCCAACTGCCCTTTGGGAAAGCAGGTTGTTGGATGTGTGACCCTGTCTAAGTCAGTGCCAGATACACACGCCACATAAGAGCCAGAAAACAATATCTGACTTTAGTTGGTTTTAAAGAAAAGTTATTTCTAGACCAAACATGGCAGTTCATCTTGTCATCCCAGTACTTGGGAGCCTGGGATAGTCAGATTGCCACCAATGCCAAACCAGTGGGGGTGGGGGGGCGCGTGGGGAAGAGGGTACAGTCTGTAAGAGTCCCAAGTCTACCTGAACCGAAGGCTAAGACCTTGTTTTATTTTTTTAATTTATTTATTTATTCACTTTACATTCCAATATCAGCACCCCTTCTCCTGCCAGGGCTCCCCTCACGAAGATCCTCCCTCCTTTCCCAGAGAAGCAGGAGCCCAACATTACTCCCCCCGCCCCAGCACAACAAGTCACGGCAGGACTAGACACACCGACTCCCACCGGAGCCAGGCAAGGCGGCCCAGTTAGGAAAACAGAGGGGGTGTTATGTGGGGTACAGTGTTTGTCGGTGGCAAAGTAAGGACGGTAGGTTATGGTGCTGAGTCAAGAAGGATTAGACAGCCCCTGCCCCTCGCCAGAAACCATGCAATCCCCGTAGCTCAAGTAGTCAGCTTTGTATCAAAGAGAAAGTTAAATGCTTTTCCTTAGACTTTCTAAGATGCTGTTTCTGGGAAAGGACTTGTGTCACAAAGGCTTTAGGGGCTGGGTTGATGGTTCAGTGGGCAGGAGTGCGTGCTGCACCAGCACAAACCTCTGAGTTCAGATCCTCAGCACCCCACCAAGGATTCTGGGTGTGGTTGTGCAGATGTGAAACCCCAGCACTGTCGGAGACTGAGATAGGAGGAATGTTGGGGTTCGCTGGCTGCCAGCTCAACTCCGTGTTCAGTGTAGGATTTCTCCTAAGGGAAGAAGGAAGAAGGCAATGGAGGAAGACACCGGACATGCCCTCTGACCTCTTCATGCACACTGCACGGGAGCAGTGCACACACACCTACCCCTATGCACATGCACCACAGAGAACAAAGAAGTAAAGACGTTTTTAAAGATGTGCTTTAATCTACCTTTATCATAATGATGGAGAAGGGCATGTTTTATTTAATTACTAAACTCTGTCATCTCAGCCTATTGGAATTAGATGTGTCATAACAGGACAAAGACCCCTCCAGCCCCGGTCCCTGTTTACAGTACCCAGCATAGCACAGAAGACATGGTCAATGCCTAGTATTCATTGAGTAGGTCACAGTTTTTAATTCGTCCTCAGAAACTCTCTGGTCCTAAGAGCCCTGGGTCAAATCCCTGTTGATTGTAAATGTGCAGGGCCTTTTTAATGAAATTTTGGAAAGATTATTTCTTGGGTTCTAATCATCTAAGGATGAGAAAACCTTAATTCTAGCTTCTTGAGCTAAGAGTTGTTATCTCATCACAAGAAAGAATGTCACACGTCTCCGCTGAAGAAATTTGTATCATGTCTGAGATTCAAATTGACGGATTTCTTTGATGCGTAAATGAAATACAAAAAGCCCACTTTCTCTTCAGACTCAGAAGTTTGGGGTCACATGCGGGGACAGACAAGCAGACAGAAGAAATGCAGGGTGTTTACGCACAGCCCTGAAAACACTCTGTCTCGGTCTCCCTCGAGGACCCAGAGATGAGCTGTGTTATTGTATTGTTAGGCCTCTCGCAAGCTGGTACCCCTGCTATGTCCCAAATAAAGAACATTGTTTTCGCTTGCTGTCCAGAGGGACTGTAAGGTCTTTGATATTCCCTGCTGGTGAATAAAAGGAGCTTCCTGCGGTGAGTCGACAGCCCCACTCTCTCTGGCTGCCCTGGTTGCTGTAGAGTCTTCCAGCTTTTGTTTACTGTCCTTCATCTGAGCCCTCTGAAATCCTCTTTTATTCATAAGGGCTCTTGGTTCTCAAAAGGAAATGTCTTATTTCTTCTTTTTTTTTTTCCCTACAATAGGACAATAGTATCTTTTCTTTTTAAAGTTTAACATTTGGGATGCAAATGTGGGCATGACAAACGTCCCAAAAGAGCCTTGATGGATTATACCCAAGCTGTGTACGCAAAGCAGGGTGTCCGGGGTACTGGTGTTTGAAGCCTACAGTTGCCTCAAGTTTTTAACAACGCTTTCCCACTGGAGCTGAAGAGATGGCTCAGTGGTTAAACACACTGGCTGCCCTTGCTGAGGACCAAGGTTCAGTTACCAGTCCTCACGTGGTAGCCTACAGCTGTCTGTAACTCCGACTCCACAGACCCTGATGCCTTCCTCTGGTCACCTTGGGCATCAGACATTCACATACATACATACATACATACACACAAACAAAGGTTTATACACTTAAATAAAAAAATAAATAAATCCCAAATCCACAATGCTTTCTCACACTTCCGTGCTTATGTGTGGACAGAATGGGTCTGAGACACTCTGAGTGGATCAGCGTCAAGATGAGGGGGGCTTAGAGCTGCTCTGTCAGCCCAGCTCCCCTCCCCGCAACACTGTGCCTCAATGGCTTTATCCAGAGTCTCTCATTATATAGTGAATTTGTAGAAACCTACCAGATCTGCAGAACTGGTGCGCCTGGAAGTCCTGAGGGAACATAACTGCTCTGATATCTACTGGGTGACTAAAGAGGCCTCCTGCAGGAAGGTCTTGGCTAGGTGACCGGTAGGAAGGACATGGACTAGAGCCACTAACCCAGTCACTCTTGGAAGCTTGGACAAATTGCTATATATCCCTGAATTTGTTCTCTTTGTCTATAAAATGAGCTGGTGATATTTTTGAAGGGAATGTTTGAGATTTTAGTGAAATAATCTGTGTCAGACGGGAAATGTCAGGTTCCCGTTAGCTCTTCCCATCGTCCTCTTCTGGGCACCGGGCTGAGTTTGGTTATCATTTGCCATAATAGACGCTCCTTACTGCGCTGCAAGAGCGTTTTATGCAATTCTTTCAACTGCCGTGAACTTACCACGAACTCCCACAAGGACCCTGCAGAGATGACACTCTGGGCCTCTCGCTGCCACAGTCTCCCAAGGCCCTTTCAGCAGCTGCCACAGAAGCTTCTGAGTCTGCGCTGGGTACTTGGCAGAGGTGGTGCCATGAGCTCCCACCACTGACGGTTTCATCATGAGAGGATGGTGAAGTCTGGGCATGAAGTTCCTCTGATCTTTAGACTGTAATCCCAGGCTTCAGAAAAGCTGTGTTGCCCCTTGTCCCTAAATTGAGCATTCTAAAACAAACAAAACACAAAAATGAACAAACCCCAGGCTGGCCTTCAGGCATGCCCACACAAAGGCTCTGTGAGATGTCTGGCACCACAGAGACACAGCTCCTCAGTCCCCAGGAAGAACATGTGTGAAAATGATCATGCTCTGTCCCTTGGAGTACACTTGCTCACTCTGAAGATGGGGTGACTTTTCAAAAGCCAGCAAGTTAGGCGGCCTTTACAATCTTGGCCCACGGTTTTACCTGAAGGTAAACTTGGAGTTACCGAGGAGAAGGGCTGAAGGTTGGTCTGAGGAAGGAACAGACCAAGGAGGAAAAAAAAAGATGGGTGATTGACAGGAGCCCAATGGGGGCTGCGTGTACTGGGGGTGTACATAGGTGGTTTCTTCCTGGAACTGGGCCTTGGGGGTGGTCCTACTGTCTTAGGTTCCTCAGTTCCTGTGCATTACTTATGAGATTTGGTGGCTTGTCTTCCCACTATGTGACATGTCCTTTAAAGCTACACACATGCACACGCACACACACACACTCATACACACAGGCACGTACTCATGCACACACATATATTACTCTGTACAGAGCTACCCGATTCTCTCTCCTCTCTCTGCTACCTGGTTCCATGGCAGCTTTTCAACCTCTTTCTGAAGGTCTTTGCTCTGCAGGCTTTTTTTCTCATTTTCTTCCCTCCTTCCTGTCTACCTTCCCCATATCTGTGGCACCATGACACCATAATAGCGACCAGATGAACAGTCCTGTCCACGCCGTGACATGAGTCGCACACCCGTGCATATAACTGCCAAGCTCCATGTGTCCAGCCAGACTGGCCCCTCTTCACCTGTTCCCCTCAGCCGATACTTCTTCCCTTCTCACAGAGAAGCAAGTATGAGGGCAGAGCAACCCAGCTTTGCCTGTAGCAGGAGCAGAGACCGGGGTCCCATTATGCATCCATTTGTTTCCTCTGTCTGAAGCTTGTAAAGGAGGCAGAACTGACTCATGTGCTAAGGCCCCAAGGTTGACCCACAAGGAAGGTAAAGGACTGTCACAGGAGCCTGCAACAGTCATGTGCTTGTCTTAGGTGAGTGTCGCCTGTTTTACCACAGGACCACAAGTCTGTTGACTGACAAGCCACTGAAGGGGAAGTGGTTGCTCATGGTTTGTGAGTGAGAGTCTGTCATGCATCAGATTCTGTTAGACACTCTTCTGAATGGCAGCCTGGTGCCTTCTGTCCTGATACGGTGGTCAGAGATGAGAGGGCTATCTTGGGCACTTTTTATGCTAACGTCATTCATCAGGGTTCCCCCTATGCTCGTCCCTCCCTCTGTGGTACAGAGAGTCAGTTTCAGTGGGTGAGTTTGGAGGATGGAAACATTGGATGCTCCGGGAGGGGACACTCAGTCTTCACTGTTCTCACCCACCCGCCCTTCCTGCAGCATCAATAGGACCAGCTCTTCCGAACGAGTGTCTCCAGGCGGCCGGAGGGAGAGCTCCGGGGACTCCAAAGGAAGCCGGAACCGCACAGGTTCTACCAGCAGCTCCTCCAGCGGCAAGAAGAACAGTGAGAGGTAAGGAGGGCCCCCGCTAGCTGTACCTTCCATTCATTACCCAAGGGACAACTCAGAAGATCCCTCTTGACAAGTCAAGCCTACATCTAAGCACCAGGCCTTCTGAGATTGCATTAGTAAGTGTGGAGTAGCTGGTCCTCACAGGTCACGTCCTGGAAGGTATAACTTAGACTTCCAGCCCCTAGTGTCTGAGATGATGATGATGATGGTGGTGATGGTGATGCTGATGCTGATGATGGTAGTAAAGCAATGTCTAAGAAATTAGCCCAGGAAGTGGATCTGAATTTCCAGGGGTGGTCACACCTATCTCCAATACAACTTCCCAAGTTAATCTTGAACTTATCTTTGCTGGAATGCTTAAAGCTTGTCGCAGTATTTTCTGAGATGTTTACGTTTACTCGGGAGCCATTTTTAATAGTGAGCTAACAGCAGAAATACGAACCATTTTCCCGCCGCGGTTTCCTGTTCTCTGCTTTACTCCTAACTTTGAAGTTTCTATGAGTTTGTACAGCAGGTTATGATAAATTTGTGAAACGCACACTAACATTTTACTCACAAAAAGCTACTTTCGGGCATTTTAACAGCCCGGTTTAAGAACGTGTGGGGTTCCTGTGCCTTTCCGCCCGTTCTCACCAGGCTCCGGTTTTAGTTTTTCTGTTCTGTGGAATCCATGAAAGAGTCTCAGCTTCAGAGGTTAAGCTTGCTTCCTTTGAGATGTTCATGTAAGGAGACGGCTTAGTCAGAACACAGTTGGTTCCAAACCACAGGCTGTAGAGCTTCCAAGTTTGAAACTTTGTGGGGACTCAGTCCTGTAAGGGATGCTTAAACTCTGTGTCAGCTTTAGCTCCGAAGAGGATCTTTGTATAAAGAAGGGGGTGGGGAGGAGGTGGTGAAGAAAGAAGAGGAGGAGGAAAAGGAGGAGGAGAAGGGGAAGAAACAGAGGAGGAGGAGGAAGAGGAAGAAGATGAGAAGAAAAAGAGGAAGAGGAGAAAGAGAAGAAGAGGAGGAGGAGGGAGGAGGAAGAAGAGGAAGAAGGAGGATGAGGAAGAGAAGAAGAAGAGGAGGAGGAGGAAGAGGAGGAGGAAGAGGAGGAGGAGGAGAAGGAGGAGGAGGGCTGGAGAGATAACTCAACAGTTAGGACCACTGGCTGTTTTTCCAGAGGACCCAGGTGTGATTCCCAGAACCTGTGTGGCAGCTCACAACAGCCTGTAACTCCAGTTCCAGGAGCTCTGACACTCTCTACCTGGGCATTGCACACACATGGTGCACAGACAAACATACAAGCAAAACATCCATACACATAAAGTAAAACAATTTTTAAAAATCCTGACAGCTCTTTAAATTGTGTGGTAAATCGAGCCCACCACTGTACTGACAATTTCAGAAACCATGAACTCATCTTCTTCTCAGCCGGTTAGTGCTTCTTAGAGGAAGATTATGCTAATCTTATGCTAATGAGGTGGTAAGATGTTGGCAACGAGGCCAGGTGGCCACAGAGGCAGCCGAGTGCCCGCCCCAGCCGCTCTGAACGGAATTCAGGCTGAGGTTGGCGCTGACCTGAAATGTCTGTGTTTTGGCAGGTCCTATGAACATCTGATTTTTATCAGGAATTTCCAGAAAGAATCAACACTGTGTAAAGTCCAGATCTGTCTTATCCTTTAAATCCCATGGCTTTGCTTAATGTACTCGGTAAATATTTCCATGAAAGATATTTACAGAGGGATTTTTGAGAAATGCCACGGGAAGGAATTCTGATTTGGAAACAAGAGAATGGGAGTGCTTGCAAATCATCTTCTAAAAATAATCCTGGCCACTGTGAGTCCGCTTGGAGCCAAACCCTCCATCCCATTGAAACCAAGAGATCACCCCAGCCATCCTGTTACCAGCGGGTTCGAGGACACTTGGGTCCCTACTGGTACTGGCGAATACTTTGGGGGCACCTATTGGGATAGTCGTAGGAGTTAAGTTGGCAGTGTGGGCACTGCCCGGCCCAGATCTCCACATCGTCTTTCCTCTCCTGACACGAGCAGCTCCAGCTCTGGCCTCACAGAGGCCTACTGAGGAACTTCTGGACTCTAGACTAATACAGAGAAAAGCCTAGGGACACCTCCCCCAAGCCCTGTGGATTCTACCATGACTTCCTGTGGTGAAGGGTGAAGACAGGCTGGCTTCTCCTCTTGTCGGGGCTGTGAGCTCCAGGGAGTCACCTTAGGTGGCTGTCTGTCATCTGAAAAGATGTGCCTCCTTAGTTCCTGTGTAAGCCGTGAGGCAGAATGGAAATCACATGGAAAGATCTGGATGTCTTCACGTTTTGAGAGCCCTGGCTTTTCCTCCGTGATTTTGAGACTTTTGTGTCTCATTCTTTTGGCTCCTAAGGTGCTAACTGGGAAGAGAACACCCAGTGGTGTGCTTGGTCCTCAATAAAGAGTCATCTATGTTAGGTTGGCAGTGCACAGAAAAATAATGCATGAAGACTTCTGAAATTCTCAGCCACTTCTTCCTCCTGTGTAAGTGAAGGTAGCTGACGGCTTCTGGTGACTTCTGAAGTGACCGCTCTTTTCTTTGATTCGCCAGGTTTGATTACATTTCTATGAATGACCCAGGCCATTGAGTATAACCCAGATTTTGATAAAAATCTGTGATTCAGGGAACAGGTGGCCTATGCCACGATCCTCCCAGCTGCCACCCAGGCTCCTGTAGGGGTACACTGACCGCAGGAGGGATGAGCTCTGGCTGGAGTCAGTTTGATAGGTGGAAATGCACTGACGTCACACAGAGAACCTGGGCTCCGCCCTGATCTCTGGACTCAGGTGTCATGCGTCGGTAGCCATAACGGTCAGTGTGTCACACCCCGTGTGCGAACAAGCTATGTGCAAGAATGTCACACCAGCATCCGCATTCCTTAGCAACAGTGAGAACATCTATAGGACAGTTCTGTAGGCTTCATGCAGCTCCTCACTCTTGAGAAGAAAATAAGTGTCTGTCAAGCCGTGTGTGTGTGTGTGTGTGCGTCTCTTTTTATTTAAAGCTGTAGCCTTTATTTTGTTGTCCTTCTCTTTGGCCCCAGCCCACTTTCTTTAGAAGTGATCGGTGGGGTTGAGAGGTTTTCCCCGTGACTCGGTACAATCTTTACCTTCCATCTTCGACTGTTTAACATTTAAAACTTCTTTACCTCTAAGCCGCCTCGGGACTTTAACTAGCAGTTAATCTCTGTACCGACAACGCTTCCATTAGCGATAAAAGCAATGTAGGGCCATGTAATATTTCACTTTATGTAATATTCATGGCAAATGAATATTAATGATTACATAATGAGTCTTGCCACCACGAAGTACTTATTAAATTTAAATAGGGAGTCAGCAATAGCATTCTGAAAGAATGGTATGATGTAGCTGGAGCACTGATCCACTAAGGAAATGTTTTAACTTTAAAAAAGTTTTATATCGCCGGGCGGTGGTGGCACACGCCTTTAATCCCAGCACTTGGGAGGCAGAGGCAGGCGGATTTCTGAGTTCGAGGCCAGCCTGGTCTACAGA